CCCCCAGTATCTATTTATGTTTGGGTGGCTTTTAAAGCCTGCCAAATTTCTACTCTCTGTGCCCAGTTGAATGTGGAAATTTTCCCATGAACACAGAATCTCTTCTTTTTCTTCCCATCCTGTCCTTCAGCGAGACAGCTGCTGGGAGCTTATTCATCGGAGCAAAACAAACCCACCTTTCTCCAACCAGTAAAAAAGGTGGGGCGGTTTCATCTTAAGAGAAGTTGGGAGGGAGTAAAATAAAGAGAGGGTGACCTGCGGCTTTGAAGCTCCTGCCTTTTGCGGGGGTCAGTTCCCATTGGTATCTTTAACCTCTTTAGAGTTGTTCCCAGGGGTGTGGAAAATAAATGCTTTGGGCTGAGAGTGGAGTGGTGGAACCATAATAATATTTGTTGGGAGTAGTTGTAACTTTTCAGGAACCCTATGTAAGTCGAAGTTACTAGTTCATGAACTTTAATTAGCCTTCTCTTGTCCACACAAAGTTCTATCACTAAAAATCTACAATATCACTGTTGCTCTCTGAGAGTAAGCCTCTCTGTACACACTGGGGCTTATTCTGATAAATATGCATTGAATTGTGTTTTCAAAACAGTTGTGTTTTTCCAACTTTGGTTGGGTTCACCCATTCTGCTAAGGTGTGTTATGCTTTGCTTTTAGCATAAAACTGTATGCAGAGGTAGCTATTGTCGTATGTCAACCATGATTGATGGTTTGGTGTTGGGCTGCCCAGCCCAGTTGTAGTTTGTGAAACAAATGGTGGCTTAGTTCATTGTGTAATCTAGCTGTGGAGAACTTTAGAAACATATATTTGTGTTTGGATTCTTTTAGTCTGTGTGAGAGAGCTATGGATTGGAGAGGATGGATTTAAAAGATTTTACAATTGGTCCGTTCTTTGTCTTCTGTTTTCTTGCAACAGAGTCTGGTTGTGTGTTCTAGAGTTGACCCGAACAGGAACTGAGCAGTTCCTTCCTTTATTTGCCATAATCCAAATTACTGTCCAGCTCTAAAAGAGAGACATTGCATTACTTTTGTAATTTTAAATGACTTGCAGTTGACTTGCAAATTCACATCCTTCCTTGAGTGTGAGAATCTGGCTTTTAAAAATGCCAAGAATCAATCTTAGTAAAGTGAAAGGGGGAGACCAGAAGAAAATTTTCCTTGTTGTGTTAATCTGCACAAGTATGACAAAGGTAAATCCTGCATGGCTGTAAAACAGAGTAGTCTACTGATTCATCTTGTGTTGTGAACTAAATCTAATTTATTGAGTACTATGAATATTAAGGTGCATAGAACCGTACATCATTCCATGATGTTTTGGGTGGATTGTGTGCAGAGTTGTTATCCTCATTGTGGCGTAATTCTCTTGTTCTGCTTATGAAACGGAGCCCAAAACCAGATTTGGAGTTGGCATATTCTGATCAAATCCCTCATTCAAATTTCATCTCTGCTGTAATGATTCTTGTAGGGCAATGCTGTCTTGTGGTTTCCAACTCTTCTGGATTGCAACAGCCATCATGTCAGTTCACTGATTAAGCTGAATAGGATTAGGAGGAATTGTAGTCCAAAACAGCTGGAAAGCATTACATTGATAGCAATGTAGTGATCCCTGGTGTGTTGACTCTCTTAGCTCCAGCAAGCATGGCCAGTGGTCAAGGGCTATGGTACTTGCAGTTCAAAACCCCCAAGTAGCACAGTACTGCTTACCCCAACAGAGAATAAGAATAGATTACAGCAGTTGTGTATCAAATCCCTTTTAATTTTGCAGAATATTAAAAAAAAATGCTAACTATTTTTTATCTTCTGTTGCTGGTGGATGAGGTCGGGTGGAAGAAGAGGAGATGAGGAATTGTGTTTCCATGTCTTGTTAGACACTTTTTACAATTTTCTTCCATAGTAACATTTGGGAAGTAACAGCCGGGGCAGCGTGGTGGTGAAAATGCTGGGCCAGGACCAGTGAGTCTTGAGTTCAAATCTCCTGTAGCCATGAATACTACTGTGACTTTGGGTTAATTTTGGAGAGTCAAGCCTCCTTCACAGTTATTTTGAGGAAGATTGAAGGTGCAGCCTTGAGCTCTTCAAACAGAGGCAAAATATCATGGTAACAAGTAAATAAAAGACAAAGAATTATATTGAATAAACCTCAACGGGTCTAAGGTATGATGAA